TTAGGGCTGCCACAAACGATTATTTTAATAATCGATTAGTCGTCGGTTAATCGATTAATCGTGGCAGCCCTAACAGACCTACTACATAGCCGACCAAAAGAAACAAACATGAAGTTACAGTTCAGGTTATGTTTACATAAATGAAAGGTCAAAGAGATATTCAGCAATGACCAGAGTAAACGGCCTTGAATTTCACCAGAGACAAACAAAATACCGGGGTATGTCAATGCAGCACACCTGTAACTTATAATGATTAACTATGTTGTATAAATCAACAGATAAATTACCCAAAAAAGCATAAATACCGTAACAAGGAGTTGAAACAAGTCTGAAGTGTTTTCAAAATTGGAAAATGAACCTTTTGGAGCAAAAATAATATTTATGCAAACTGAATTGTGTTATATCTAGTGTTAGTGTGGTTGTAAGACCCATGGAATTAGAACTAGTTTCATCTTTGACAGTAAAAAAAGTATTGCTCACAGTTGCTTAAAAAAATCACAAGTAAAGCTATGGCTCAAGTGTACAACTTCTCGTAAAATTCCCTGGAAGCACTAAATGTGTACTTTTGCCACACACAGTCATCATTTTGGCTTGACTTTTGTTAACAATATGAAGGTAAGAATGCTGCCTGATAGTGGTCATAATAAAATGGCCCATCAGTGTGCTTAAAAATATATATCTCCATAAAACTGTTCTGTTGCATAGCCAGGCATAAAAATTGGCGTGACTAACCCCTGGCCTGAACAGGGCGGGGGGAAGAAGATGAGGGAGAGAAGGAACAGATAAAGGGATAGTTTGGGGAGGGGTTGATTTGGCTGGGCAGACAAGAAAAAGAGGCCATTAGCCGATTAGGGTTGGAAGGGGGTGCATCAATACTGCGCCGATGTCAAAAGGAGAGTCATGCCCATGAGCTAATATAAGAATGAAGGAGACCCAGAGATAGAGAGAGGTAGTGTAGGTCAGCAAGTCATGGAAAGCTCAAAGATTGCTGACCGCAAAGCCCTACAAAGTGAGGCAACATAAAAGACTACCACAACATAGTCAGACTAAACCCATCACATTTACATGACAAAATGATTAGCCTCCCTTTTCCTGACATAGCTGCGAGGGTGACAATTGTGTGTGGACATGTGTGTACCTATGGGTGTGTGGAAGGAGTTTCTGCAGAGGGTAATATAGACAGGAAACCAGTGAGTACTGAGGTATTAAAGAAGAAGGTTTGGTGGTAATTAAGTGTCCAGCTGAGTCCTAGTGGGCCTTGCCACAGCCGCAGGCTATGCTAATGAGCATGCCCAGCAGTCAGAGCTGGCTTTTTAAGCTCTCACTGGACAATATGGTGGGTGAGATGCACCACTGGCAAGCTCACATCTCAACAAATGATGAACAGTCTTCTTAAGAAGAAAAGTAATTCCATTAATTGGGAAAACACTGGATGTGGATTGTCTCTCTTTATTGCATAATTTGTCATTTGCTTTTGCACTTTTACCTTACATTACTACACTTTCTCTCTTAACTAAAAAATGCATATAAGAAATATAATTATAAATACAATCAAATACAATGTTTATATTTTAAATGCTGTATTTCATTTGTATATCGTTTTTATTAAAAGTTAAAGAAATGTGATAAAAAAAACAATCATTGAGAAAAAATGTCTAAAAATAAAAGCATTTAACTTTATTAACCCGTTTATTTCCTGACATGTATTTACTGTCTTACAAAGTTTTTTAAGGTGCAATGTTTAAGCAGAGTTTAATATAGTTTATTTCATCAGCAACATACAACTACGTACAGCTTCTATTTTAACTTTGAAAGGGGAAAAAATAAAAACAAAACAAGGCAACAGGACTGGAAATTAAAAAGGTACCCAAAGCGTCAACTGCGGTTCTCCACGTCAGTGAATGACTTGCTAAACTCCCAGCTGGCTGTTGTCAAACATTCTACATGGCAAAGAAAACAGCACCAATTCATTAATCTGACCAGATATTAGCAAATAATTCAGCCATACAACTCAAGAAGATCTTTTCCTCCCACGTCTCTCCTAGCACTGCTGAGATGACGGTCACGACATGGCGCTGATGTGAGTGGATGAATTGAAGAATGCTTGGCGCCAAACAATAGCCGAGCTGAAGAACCAGTTAAAAACAGTGTAGAAAGTCTGCATGATGACAGAGCCAACAAAACTTTTTTTCATGACAAAAACAGTTTTTTTTTTTGTCCATGCAGAAATTATTCGTGGATGGGGCACAAGCTGTGCCTTTTAAGTCCTAAGATTTAGGGGTCTGAATCAGCAGTTTTAGTCAATTATAATTTTTGAATGCCAAATCTAGACATCTACAGTAGATAATGCTTTGAAAAGTCTGCATCAACTCCTTTGTTCCTTTTCCCACTCTGTATGTTATCCTGTCCAACTGTTGGCTGGGATGAAGACACACAAAACTCATCTTTTAGTTGGAATCTGAGGTGAGACGATACGCTCGGTGAGGATCAGAGTTCAGACAGCAGGGCTATATATAATGGTGCCTGAGTCGTATCGAAATGTAGTGCAAATTACCATGTGTGTATTTTCAGCCCTGGCCTCCGTGGTTTGTGGGTACTTTGGGCGGCATGCCAGAGGTGAAACAGGAAGGAGAAGTGTTCTTGGAAAAGAATGAGACAACTGAGAGCCCAG